ACACCCCTTTAGAATTGCATGCTGTGACCTGTAAAGGCAAAAGAAAAACAAAGCATCACAAATTGGTGATCAAAAAACTCCACAAATAAACAACTTTCCTCTGGTCAGTGCAGCGATTTCTCCCATGCAGCTCAGATGGGCCTCTGGTGAGTCTGCTTGTAATGTAAAAGGCCTGTTAATTCGACTGCCCACCAGTTAGTCCCTCTCTCATAAGCGCAGGTCTAATGAATGTCTTTAATAGGCCTACTGCTGCACACCACATTCCCTCCGTCCACATTAAGACCTCACACAACACTGTGTGCACCGTGCAATCTCAGCGCTGGTCAAACGAGGGTGTTAACTACCGAACGGGGAGACATCAGTTTATATATTTACTTTAAATAACCCCCCTGGGTATGACCCCTGACCTCTATGATAATGTAGGCCAGCAGGAAGAGATTGCCTGTGTGAGCTTGGCTCGTACTGCTGGTCGTTAACGATGCACTTTGCTCCAAACACATATGCAGTGGATATGAGAGCGCCACTCATTTTGACCCACATTTAAACTCGCACTACAGAAGCAACATAAGAAGGGAGCAAGAAAATAATCCGACCCTTACAAGAATATAAAGGAATGGAAGAATTGTGGACGAAGGTTGTCTGGTTTGTATATTATTTTTAGTTATATTCATTTGTTTGTTTAGCTTTTACAAATCACCTATTGCATTTTAAATGCTTGAAATTAAAACTGAACTCAGTAAAAACAAATCAGAGGTGAAAACAAATTCCACGTGTTAATTACGGACCGTTCAGTAGAAATTGTATTAGGGCCTTCTGTCAGTGGCGTCCTCCATCAATTACATCCCAATGAAACTGCGCCGCATTCAACAATATCAATATCCAGGTAATTTCATTTCAATGGACAGGCAATTAAAGCAGAATCGGGGTCAATGGAACACAAAGCAGCGTGAAAGCCACTGACTAAAGCACTTAAAAGCAAGAGAGTGAGAAACGAGAGAAGGAAAAGAAAAAGACTCTGATTACATTTCACCTGTCAATGACACGCCGCAGGAGCATTATTGTGCATGTGCGTATGAGCATGTGTGTGTGTGTTTGTGTCTGTTTGTCTCTGTGTGTTTACAAGTGTGTGTGTGTGTGTGTGTGCCCGCGTATGTCTGTATGCACATATTTGTGCGTGCTGTGTTTGCCGCTCCTGTGCATGTTATGCCTGAAGACATACGTGCAGTAATAGAGTGGTGGTAGACTCAGACAGCTGCCCAGTGCCATTCACAGCTCAGAGCTCCCAGCCTCCACTCTGCTCTGTTCGCCTTCTGATGAGAATTAATGTACTCTGACGTCCCCTGGGAGTCCCGCACTCCCCCCCCCAACAGCACGGCTAATGAAGAAATACAACCTTGCCAAAATACTGAGGTGGAGAGAGAACGACACAGACATAGAGACGACACGAGAGAACGGGAAAGAAAGAGAAACTAAGGCAGATAAAACATTTGTAAACGGTGATATGCAAAAAAAAAACGAAAGTGTGAGAGGACTGAGGAGTTGAAAGGAGGCCAGCATAACTTGAGTGTGGGTGGGAGGGATATATGTAAGCGCAGGGAGGGAACTATAGGACACAGAGTGAGGGAAGCCACCGTGAGGTTTGGCTGTGACCCAAGACACGTGTCCTGGATGGCCATAACCTGCCCCAGGGCTGCTACGGGCGATGACTGCCCGGCCTCTCCCCAAGGGGCTCCCTTGACACCAACACCCCCTGCCCACACACAAAAACACACTCCCCTGCCTAGAGACCTGCGGGTGGATGAGCCGTATGGATGATAGAAATTATGACCCCAAAATAGCAACCGTACGAGCAGCCACGGGACGCGAGACACATGCTATAAAAGCTGACCACCACAAAATAAGTGCCATAAAGTGTGTTCGACCAATGTCAAGCAAATCGACACAAATAGACAGACTCACTCCTGGGGCCGTCCCCATATGGTGTCCATCAGTAACATTTTAGATGTCCTTTCAGTATGGCATAATAAAAGAGATAAATAGTTGCTAGTCCTAAATAAAAGATGCTATTTAGTCCCCACCGTTTTAAACTTAACTGTTCTCCTGCTCTTAGACTAAAAATAAGTCTGAGCAACTAATAGGAAATGCCATGATTTTTTTTAGTTGGGCACGCTGCCATAGCTTTAATTAACAAATCAGTTTTAAACCAGCTCTTCTCCTGTGTTTTCCACACTGGAGATTCTCCATGTTGTTTGATTGTCCAGGTCCAACATCACGCAGGGCAATTTTCCATATGCAGGGCACCTGCATGAGCATCACCGTTTACTGTGTGGTTTTGTGGGACAAATGCCAGCTGAATTCAGTTGTGACCACCTCAAAGGCAAGAGTAAGAGGAGACAAAATTTATAAACGGCATCTATTACACCACGCCTGAAAACACACAACCTGCATTTCCAAAACAAGGAAGGGATGAAAAAGAACAACATTGTGTTTAATACTTACAGCTTCATTGCTTTGAAAGATTCAGCAAATTCCCTGACGCTGCGCAGAGAAGCCAGGTTGCACATCATTGCTTCAACTCTCGCTTTGTGCTGTTGAGAAAGAGAAAACAATATGATCGGAAAAATACAGACGTAACAGCAAATTAAAAGAAATTTTCAGAGACTTTTTTTTAAGTTTTTGCCCATTTTAATCGTTGTTGTCAAAGGAAATAGCGATCACAAGTAGAGGCTGAATGTTTGCATTCTGTTTTATTTCACAGGACAATGCAGTGATTGAAGTCCTGGAAGAGTGATCGCTCTTTGCTTGTAGTCCCCATGTTTTCCCCACTTTTACTTTGATGAGAATCCAGGTTTCCAGTTACCGTCCTGTCTAAAGACTCTTAAGAAACTCATAAGTAGTGACGGTGTCCTCTCCCTGCGTGTTTGTGTGTGGCTCATCTCACACCATATGTTGGCAGACAGATAGCAGAGAAGAAGAAAAAGATAAATGAGTTGAGAAGTGAATGCATAGCTGCATTTACACACTGCTGAAGACAGGCTAAATATTCATCATCCCCTCCATCCTACTGTAGCATTGTGCTGCAGGGCAAAGGCCTCAGCAAAAATGCATGCAAGGACCATATCTGTTTAATAAAATCATACAACGGGGTTCATCAAGTCTGTCAACTCACAGTCTTTCCATGCCTTTCTGTCTCTCCCCACTCTTCCCTTTATCTGCTGAGGCCCTCGACCAAAAAAGCCAGGTTCGGCCTACCTGCAACATATGAGCTCACATGGGACTCTGGCATATGTTAGCACGAGTGCGTGCCGCATGAATTGACATGGAGCATGTAGACTCCAGACTCCAGAGCATCCCTCATGCTCTGGTCTCTGGTGCACAGTAGCACCAGGTATTCCTCCTTCCTCCCACCCGCCATCCCAGAGGAACACTGTCAGCTCAGATTACACCCGGAAAGGCGTTCAGCTCGCCATCCGCCACCACTGGTGTTGCTCCCCTGCATCCCTTCTCCCCTGATCTGATCTCCTGTCTCTGGGTGTCATATGGGAACGTCTTTCCTCAGCGTGTCTGTCTCAGCACAGCTAAGTACACATGACACTCACAGCAAGGACGCTCCATGGAGCAGTGAGCACAAAGAAAACAATAAAGGGTTAAGAGCATCTTCTGATGGAAATGTGATTCTTCAGGCATTTTACAGACACCTTAACTGCCCCAGGGTGTGTTTATACATGCATACAGAGGCACACGCACGCCCGCACACGCACACAACAAATTCAATGTTGTGACTCAAGGGTAAAACCACGCTATCACACCATTATCTATGCCTGAATTATTCTCTTGATGCCACTCTATGCCATTATATGGATGCTATTACAGAGCATTAAAGGGCTGATTATGGCTATTATAGATATGATTATAGGGTACCTGCTTATATGATCTGTACACAGCAGTAATCACAGGTGAGAGGAGACAACTGTCTGATTTAATTGCTTATATGTGCAGTGTGCATTTATACTCTTTGCCACTTTCACAATGTATACATGCACATAAATGCAGGTGGATTGAAAAGTAATATTTGGTCACCAAAGTAACAACATAGTAGGAAAACCTCATTTGTAACACATGTTTTAAAAAAAATCATCTTCAGTTGTTCATTTTACTGTGAGAAAAATGAGGCATTACCTCCGAACAAGGTCAGAAGAGACAGCAGTGTGATAATTAACAGGTCACTATAAGGCCTCCTCAACAGGATAGCTCTCTATGTGTGTATGACCAGCAGAGAAGATGAGAGCAGGTGTCAGCTTGACGAACACATATCCTCTTCTCTAGAGACATGGAGGGAAAGGAAAGGAGAGATGGAGTAATGGGAGACCAGAGGGAGGATAGAGGGGGGGTTGAAGAGGGGCCACTGGAGCAAATCCAGCAGGGAGAAGGTGAGCAGCCTGCCCGCCCGCCCGCCTACCCTCCCCCTGCAGATTGAAGTCTTGCGAAGAAAATAAAGTTTATTGCCTGGAAAGAGGGGGAAAAAGCATGTAAAAAGCATTAAAGCGATGGAGGTGAACAATTAGACAGATGGCCAGGTTTTGGAAGGAGAAGAAGAAAAAAAGGAGTAGAAAAAGACGGAGAACGCACAGACGCAATCGTTCAGGGTTTTTATGAGGACCCTGACAACTCCTGGTCTCTTCAAGGGCGAAGGAAAAGTGAGAGGCAGCGAAGCCTCTCTGGTTAACTCTGGAGCAATCGCTGAGTAGGCAACACCACAGAGCTCGGCTCAGGGTGACAGTGCTTACCGCCCCCCAGCTACACACAACCTATCGCTACAACTAAAACAGAAAGGCTAATTCTGAGAGAAACGCGGTAAATAAGCTCCGAAAATGAGAAACCGCTGCAAAGTGAGCGTCCTCGTGTCCACGCGTCCGCAAAACAGCCACATGTTCAGGACAGAAATCGGCAAGGTCACCGTGAAGATAACATCACCTGATGCCTCAGACTACCGCTGCTGCCAACACCTCTCACCTGTCACCTGCCATCAAACCCAGAAGACGAGCTATCTGTAACAAGACAATGACCTTTAGGACTTCCGCCATAAGGAAAAAAAGAAGGAAGGACTAAGAGCAAGGATGGAGGCAAACAGTTAAACTTTTCCCTCCGTGAATACAGAAAGTTGGCAACTGCAGAGGTTCTCCTTCTCCATCCTGCTCTTTTCCGCGCCGAACCCAGGAATGACATGTGATCACTGCTGAAAGAAAGATGGAGAAGGAGGAGAGGATAGATGGGGAAGCGCTCTAATACAATTATAACCGGGGCCATCCAATCCAATAAAATGAAGAAGTATTAGAGCAGGGGAGTCCCATCCTGTTCAATAAGATACTGGACCACTTTACTAACTCTTAAAACACACACACACGTGTGGGCACACACAGGTGCACACACTTCGCTGACCCCTTTAATAGCACAGAAGCCACCCCTAATGGACGCAAGCAAGTGGAACCACCAAATAATACACTGTCTTAATGCACTAGACTCAATCTCATCCCCCTCTCCCCTTATCCTTCTCAGCCTTCACTCTCATACTTTAACCCCTGCTTCCATCTTCCCTCACCTTGTGCTGCTCACCACCTCAGCGCCTCTTATAGATCACCAATGCAGAGGCAACACTTAAGGAATCAGAAAAAAAACCCTATATATACACAAAACACTTAGCCTGCAGAACCCAGTTAACGCTTCGGACGAGGAGAAGAAGCGAGTAAAGGAACACAACGCAGTGTCGAATTCCTGCGGTTTGAAGTATCACTCCTTCCGAATATGAGATTCGTAATATTAATATAAAGCAACAGCAGTATAATATGGACATATCCTAACCAGCAGGTGCAGAGGTAAGGTGTTGTAATGGCGATGAAAGTGAATGAGCAGGGAAGACACCATGTGAAAAGGGCACCTTATAAAAGCAATTAGAGAAATGACTTTGAGCCCCTCTTCTTGCTCTGTAGATTAGAACAGGCCTCCGAGGGAGGAACACCAAGGAACTCAGATCTCTATGACCTTGGCCGCAACACACCATACTAAATTGGCCATCAGCTTTTAAGACTCATATCACAGATATATATTTTTAGCAAAAAGAAAAAGAGAGAAGGAAGGAGGGGGGGGCGACTGTGGAATGTGCAGGTCATATATCATCCTGTCACAATTATGACGTTTGTTCATAAATACCAACCAATCTCCTCTCCACCTGGCTAAGTCACATGCACTTGTGCCTATGCATGCGCTATACACCAACAAAGAAATTAGACGCACACACACACACACACACACACACCCCACGTGTGGAGAACGCACATGCACATCGCAAATAAAGAAAAGGACACATCTGGCTGGGTGCCCTACCACGGGTCTGAGAACTGACCTCCACACACAGACAAAAAGACTGAATACACACTCAGGTAACGACATGCATTCGAGCGCCTAACGCACGAATGAAAGCACGCCTTCTGCACATTACAAACACTAAACGCACACAAACAAACAAAATGCACGCCCGCACGCGCGCGCACGCACACATCCACTTACTCACTGGCATGCACGCACACTGCAATTAATAGGGAGGCAGGTCTCTGGTGAGGAAGAGAAAGTGCCTGTTCAGCACATACAGGCAGAATATGCAATTTCCTCCAGTTAAGTCTGTATTAAATTGATTTCTTCTTTCTCTGACACGGACTGGGTTTTTCCCCTCTAATGAAAGCTGGATAATCTACAGGTTTTCCCTTTCCTGAAATCAAGTTACAAATCAAGCAATTGCAGGGGCAGATATGGGAAAGGTGAAGGAAGGACATGGGATGATTTTCCAGATGAGAAACATGAAGAATGAGGCGCCCACGTGCCGCTGCTCGTAACGCCGACATCAGGGGCACCTGACGCGCGCGCGGGGAGCAAAGAGGCCAGGCCTCGGTTAAGTACTCGGTTGACATTTCTGGTCAGCAACGGCCGTGCCGTGTTAGTAAGCGCGGCTCTAATAACTGTAATTAATTAAATGCGTGAATTAGTAAGCACTTCGATGAGCTAATCATTCATTCAAACCTGTCAGGGAGTCACATGGAGGCGGGAAGCTGGAGAAAAGCGCGCTGAGCAGAAAATGACTTTAAAAGAACTTAAAGATGAACAGTAAAAGAAGAGGTATTTAGTTACTTTAATGGGTAAAAGCAGCAATACAAAAATATACGAATAATTAAATCAAATCTTTTTTAGCAGCAATGTGTAATTTAAATAAACCAAAAGTAATCATTACAGAGGCAACGTTACACAATTACTTTTTATAACACTTATTAAATAATGTGTAAGCAGAATTTTAATGGTATAGCTGGTGGAGGTGAAGCAGTTTTAAGTACTTTATATGCTGGTGTGTAATTTAATTTTACTGAATAGTGAGGCGTTACATTTTATACGCTCATTACAGGTTTTCAAAATCTTTAACTTTAACTGTCAAATAAATTTAGTGAAGTAAAAAGTGCAATATTTCCCTCTAATGTAGTAAAGTGGGAGTTATGCATACAATGCATTATAATACAGCATAATATAATTCAGTAAAAATGGTCTT